AGTTACGAGTTCTTTTTTAAAGCTGATCGTTTTGTGTTCATTTTGTTTAGTTCTTTTTTCGTAACAGATTTAATATTTAGTATAGAGCTTAGAAAAAATTCGCAGTGTGAGATAGGCAAGAAGTAAGTCATGTAGCAACATCAGCACGGCAAAGGGCACTCCTTTAAAGGCAAGGAAGGTCAAAAATATTTTAAGTCAAGTGATAGCGATTGCTGTATGAGTCGTACGATTTTTGAATCAGCCACGGGCAACGCCGGGCCATGCTGCTAGTTCTAAATAAAAACAAAAAAATCGAACCGAACGAGAACTTAAGGCTTTCTGTATACACCAACTTGAATCGATGCGTTACGCCTACACAATAAGCGAACTTAATATGGCTTCTGATTTTTCTCGGAAATTACAATTAAACTATCAACGTGGCTATATCAATCTCGACTGTGTTTGTGCTCAACGTTTACAGTGTCCTTCTTGCAGCTTTGTGCCCTGCACAAACGTCGCCAACGATCAGATCTTGAGAATTATTCACCCGCGGTGAACAAGTCTGCAGTACCAAGCGTTGGACATCAATTGAAACTCAAGTTCATTGAGATCTCAAGTAGAATCTATCGCCAAATATTCTGGAAAACCAGTGGCTCACTTAGGAAATAGCTGCCTTCTACAAAATTCACATTAGACCAAAATGAAGACTTGCAGATATATCTGGACTAGAGCTGCTCAATCCTTAATTTCCCGTCCAGGATACTCTCCTAAGCAATGACTTACCTCTAACACAGCACTCTGCTCCCCACAAAGTTGTGGCGAACACGATACAGTAGGGGCGCAAAAGATGCACCCGAGCTGCGTGCGGACATGTCTTTCGAATCTAGTCATGTCCAGGTTTTATCCGTTATCAGCAGAACAGCTTGGTATGTCCAGATACAGGCCTCTCTTTAAGTTGGCTAGATCCGGGTTTTGTTAACTGTCTCACGTCGATAAAAGCAACGGGAAAGCCAGCAGTCGGCAGTTGGCGAATGTCAGTGTCTTACGAACACTTTCCCTTGGCGTATTTTGTTCCGGAAGTTGCATGCCGCCCGTCGTGCTGTGGTTTCTTAGGCAGTGGTCTCATTAGATATTTTATTTGTGTCCTCCCGTCTCTTTTTTTTCTCTGCCTGTTAACCCGTATTTTTTAGAGAACAATCAGTTGCTTTCTCTGTTTCTACCGAGACCAAGTACACACTGCCGGTCCAACTCGAACTCGCAATTATTAGCTCACTAAATTCACAATTCCGTAGGACAATTATGAGTGTAGAAACTAAGAGCCTGCTGTTACTAGTCACGCTTAATTGCACTCACTGAAGCATCACATTTTACTACAACTGCTGTAGAAACCTTGCTGTCATTTCTCTTTATTTATTAATGACTCCTATATCGTATTTATATAAACGCCGGGCCTACTAAGAAGGTTCATGGAGCCTAGCATATGCGGTGATTCTTTCAAAGTCTGACTCTTCAGTGTTCCTCTCTGTCAAGGTTACGATTCTATCTGTGTTTAAATAATGCAACAAAGAGATTGCTTATCTAGAAAAGCAACATTACAACTCTTAGCTTTTTAGCTGGAAGCAAACACTATCGATGAAAAATATTGTATTGTGGAAAGCTGTACATGTTTAATGGAGCATGTTTGTTTGGTTTCAAAACTATTTGTGTTATATATATATATATATATATATATATATATATATATATATATCATTTTCTAATGACGTCTTTCTTTTCGTCTGATGTACAACCCTTTTGTAACATATACAAGTATCATAACCATAACCTCCAATCTGTTGTTAGCTGGGGCAAGAAAAGCCTTGTCAATTTTAACGCATCCAAAACGAAACTACTCTCTTTTAATTGTCTGGGAGAACCCTTTTTGCTTTCCACCAGATTGGCAGATTCTAACCTCCAGGTGTGTGACTCATTACGCCTTCTCAAGCTAAGATTTTCCGCTGTCATGAAGTTAAATGATTATATTGAATCAATTGCTAGGTCTGCTGCCAGGAAAGTTGGTTCACTGTGTCGTGCTAGACAAGATTTTCTCGTCAGAATCTATCTTACATATATATAAGTCTACCATTCGTCCATGCTTAGAATATTGCTGCCATATATGGCCCGGTGGCCCAGCTATTTGCCTTGAGATCCTTGATAAAATCCAACGAATAATCAGCAATATTATTGGTCCTGATTTATAAATCTGCCATTTGTCCATGTATCGAATATTGATATCACATCTAGACTGGTGTCTCTGCTATATATTTAGAAATTCTTGATAAAATATAAAGAAGAATCTGCAATATTGCTAGTCCTGACATGGTATATCATCATAAGTTATTTTCCCACCGCTGTAGCGTAGTTTCCCAATGACATTTCTATAAATATGTTGATGGTAATTGTTCTGATGAACTCTCCTTTATGGTACCTTGACTTTATGAATTTAAGCGAACTACTAGTGACAAGTTATCATTATTTTACAGTTGAAATCGTAAGTTCTATGCTAACAGTTTCTTCTCTCGCACTTCTCGATTGTGGAACATTCTTTCAGTTTTTTTTTTACTTTCCAGTTAAATTTAATCTTCAAAAAATTAAATTCAATGTCAATCGTTATATTTTGTTTTCTTAATGCCTGTCCTTTTCTTGTTCTCTCTCTCAGTTATCCTTTGCGTCTTAGTGGCTTTATTCCCTTGCTTGAAGTGAAATGATTAAACAAGGAAGACATAACTATAAAAGCGACCAACTTTTACCTTTTGGCTCAAGTCTTAACATCAACCCATATTTGCTGATAAGCGCAATTGCTATAAAATTATTTTAGCAGTTACACAGTTTTTGGCTTGCTATCCTTGTTTTTTGGAGTTTTTTTGTTTTGTTTTGTTTTTGTTTTGTTTTGTTTTTTGGGTTTTTTTTTTTACTTTTCTTAAACAGATGTAGAGATCCAGAAGCTGCTTATCTCCCTTTGGTGGACATTAGTCACATGGTTCACAGATGGATCGCTTAGTGACGTCACTCAATACAGTGATGAAAGCGGCAGTTAATCTTCTTTTTTTTTCTTTTTTTTTTACAGTAGTCATACAGAGAAGTAGTTATCTTTAGCGCGGAGCACCCCCTGACCCGGGCAGAGGCTAAATTTGCCTCACCAGCAGCTTACAAGTCCATGAGCTGTTTCCATTTGGAAATATATCTTTCCCAGATGTAGAAACCCCAGCTCGCAGTTCTCAATTTGGGAAAAAAACAAAACTAACTGTTTCACTTGGTGTAATATGTGCTCGACTGGAATATAGATGAATTCAGTTGGTCTGAATCCGGTGTCCTAAACAGAGCTTCTCCAGATACGGAAATATCTCCATATTATAAGCAAGACACTTTTCTTGTTTCTCCTTAGAATCTTTTTTGCTGTGTAGATATGTATGATATATTGTTTTCTGCGCGCGACATGTATATATATGTATATATAGCTTATGTACGTCTTAGTATTATAAAAGACTCTCTAAGAACAAAGCACGTTTTCTATTCCTTTACTTTCAGACATTCCGTTCCGTCCGTGAATTATGGTGTTATTATATCACGGATATATTAATGCCCATAATGGGGGAAATAAACGGGAGGATAAGTATTTCTTCCTTAGCTCTCCTCCGTTACACAGTGAAATTAATATAAATAACAAGGAAGAGTTTAAAAATATATAAAAAAAACGGAGATAGTAAACTTAAACACGTAGGCCCACTGAAGAGACGTGTATAGTAAGAAGAACTAATGTCAGATAAAGAAAATCCTTTTAAAAAGTTACTGTTGTTTATGTTTCGAGCACAAAACTGAAGCTAGATACGCAGAACTCCCAAAGAGAAATGTGCTTTCGTTAAATAGGTAATTCAATCTGTTTAAATAGGTAATTCAAACCTTAGTCTGCCAGGTTGGTCTCCATGAACCAAACTGGAAGCGAAACAGAAAGTAAATGGAAAGGTAAAAGCCATGAAAGATATAGAAAATATAGAAAGAGAACGAAAGAAAGAAATGTGAAAAAGAGAATGCAGAAATAAAGTAGGTTCAAGATGAGAATAACTGAAAAAGAAAAAGAAAGAAAGAAAGAAAGAAAGAAAGAGAAATTAAATGGAGACGAAAAGGGAACGAAAGAAAGAGATAAGATGGAATGAAAACGAAAGAAATGTAAAAAGAAAACAGACATAAAGAAAGTTATTTCAAGAAAGAGAATGAGTGTAAAGGAAGAAGGGAAGAAAAAAGAAAGTAGAAACAGAAAGTAAATAGAAGGGACGAAAGAACGAAAAAAAAGAGAAAAGATAGAAAGAAAACAAAAGAAAGAAATGTAGAAAAGAATAAAGCAAAGAGACAAAGTAAGTTCAAGAAAGAGAATGACTGAAAAAGAAAGAAAGAAAAAAAGAGAGAGAAAAAGAAAGAAAGATCTGTTTGGGTTTCAAAAGAAAAATATAAGAGTAATAATTAAGGATAACTAAAAAAAAAAAAAAGAAACATGCTGAAAATGAAAATGTAGATTTATTGCAAACTGAATTACAATTGGCTTTCAAATTGGTTCCCCAGTCGTAAAAAAAGGATCCGGGTTCGATTTATATTATCTAGTAACAATGTTTATAGACTTAAATATAAACAAAGTGAATGCTTACCTAGGTTTCCACGTATAAGACTTACCAAGGTTACCTATAAACGTAGGTATTAGGTTGGTGCAAAAATAATGACGTAATAATGTCGTTTTTGACGTTAAAAAATACATCAAAAACGACATTATTACGTCATTATTTTTGCACCAACCTAATATAATCCCGCGCAATGTTTACCTATCTTCTAAAGAATAAAATTTACCAACGTTTACGTATAAAATAAAAAATAAGAAAAATGTACAAAATTACTTTCGCTTTATTTTTCATTTTCATGATTTTTCTCATTAAATTTCGAAAATCTTTTATATTCTTTGCGTTTTCCTCCATTTTGATTTTCTTCGTTTTTTCATGATTTCTTGTAAGTTCTTCCTTTACTTCCCATCTTTGGGTCATTCGTATATATTCTTTCCTGTTTTTATATCTACTACTTTTTTTTCTGTTACTTTATCTTCCACCACCTCTTCTCTTCCTTTATCCTCTCTCTGTCTATGTCTCTCTCTCTCTCTCTCTCTCTCTCTCTCTCTCTCTCTCTCTCTCTCTCTTCTGTTTTTTTAATCTTCCTCCTCGGTTGATACTTTGTCCTCTTTCCTTCCTAATACTTTATCTTTCTTCATTTTTAATTCTCTATCGTTATAGTTTTCATAGTATATCACCTCCCTCTTTCGATTTCTCCTCCTCTTCTAAAAATCTGTACTCCTCTCCTTTCGAATTCTTTATCCCTCCTCTCTCGCTCTCTCTCTCTCTCTCTCTCTCTCTCTCTCTCTCTCTAATTCTGTATCATCTCCCTCTAACTCTTTATCCTGTTTCAGTAGTCCTTCATTCACTCCATCTAATTCTTTATCCCCTTTCTCTAATTCTTTATCTTCTCTCTCTCTCTCGCTCTAAAGCTTCAACCCCTCCCTCTCATTCTTAATCCTCTCTCTCTATTTTTTTATTTTCTCTCTCTCTAATTCTTTATCCCCTCCCTCTAATTCTTTTTTCATCTCATTCTAACTCTTTATCCTTTTCTCTCAAATCCTGCGTAACCCTCCTCTTTTCATTCTTCATTCCCCTTCTCTTCTAAATATTTATTCTCTTTCTATAATTATTTTCCTTTCTCTCATTCTAATTCCTTAAATTCATTTCTTTCCTCTTCTTTAGTCCCCCTAATTTTTTATCTGCCTCCCCTTCTAATTCTTTATCCTCCCTCCTTTAATATAACTCGCATACATTCCTGAGCAGAGACTCTGCACTGTCTTTGAAAATTCCTATTTAAAATTCAAAGTTGATTGAAATTAAAACTCAAGCTATGGCTCGTGTAGATTTATTGTCGGCCTTTAACGTATTACTAGCAGCCACACCCAACTGGTCAATCAGAAAAAGCGTTCAATTAGAATGGAGCAAAAACAGCATCATGTAACACAGTCTATCTTCATAACTTACTTTAACGTACTTTCATTAAAAAAAACATTTTAAATTAATGCAGTTACTGATATAACAGAAGTAATCTATATTTATTCAATCGAAGTTAGCCGACGACATGAACGGGTAAAGACACACTTCAGACCACTATTGTTTTAGAGTTTTTGAAATTCAATTTTTCAGTATGCTACCATGGAAGTAAAAGAGGATACGTTTATAAAGCAATTGTTAAGTTTGGTGAAAATTGGTTGAAAGCTCAACGAAAAATAAAAAAGACACCAGTAAAAATCACCTTTTTTCGCTATTTACGCGGGTTTTCACTATATGGGTGGACTCAATTATCAAGTTAAATGACTGTTCAACAATCAACTTATTGTTGGCTACAAATGAGTGAAGTTTATATTAGATTGCTTGAAAACTGAGGGAGTTTTTAGTTTAAAATTTTTGTTGAAATTGATTTATGTTGAAATCGATTTGTGTTGAAATCGATTTCTCGTTTTTCGCGGTTTTTTCGCTAAACACAGTGGCGTAGAAATAAAAATGATGCATCGTTGAGCTCGACATGATGTAAGTAACTTACATACCGAGTTTGAACATAATCGGAGAAAAAAAGTTGAATTTATCGATTTTTGATGTGCTTTATCGATTATTGATTTTTTTTTAAAATTATCGACTTTTTACGCTAAGAATCTATCTGTTACATTATGCAATGTATGTGCCAAGTTTGGTCAAAATCGGTTGGATGGATCCCGAGTTAAAAGCTATCACACAGACAGACAGACAGGCAGAGGTCCTCTGTTTTATATATATATATATATATATATATATATATATATATATATATATATATATAGATAGATAGATAGATACAGATACACCTAGGGCCAGACAAACCTATTTAGGTTTCACCTAAACGGATCGTCAGGGAAAGCCAAAGCCTGACGATCCGTTTTGTCTAGGTAGGTTTGTCTGGTCACTAGGTGTATCTAGGTCTGCTCTACGGTTGTATTGAGCTCTTTTGTTAGTTAGTTGTTACTCGTATCGGGGTTTTTCTTTGGGCTTCAGACCTGCTTCTGTGCGATTTTTTGTCAGCAGAAGTTCATGTTTGTAGCTCTTTCTTTTTTTAAAACCTTTTTTTCCCTCGAGATTAATTTGATTAGCAAATAAAAATTCGAGGGTTTTCGAAACGAGTCTAGTTATCTATCTATCTATCTATCTATCTATATATATATATATATATATATATATATATATATATATATATATATATATATATATATATATATATTACCCCAAGTTCGTGTCAGCAATGATATTCAAACAGTTTTGAATAGTAACGATTTCTAACCATTTTTCTACGAGGAAGAATTCATGTTATTATTATTTCACTTCTTTAATTCTCTTTATCGTATACGAATATCATTTTATTTCAAATCACTTCCCACTTCTTTCTTCCCCGCCGTTATCTCCTTCCTATTTTTTTTTCTTGGTAATTTGTATGAAAAAATATTTCAATTGGTTGCTCAATGACAACATTTAATATCGGGAAAAGGCTTTTGCTCAAGAGGGAAAAAGGGACGAGCAAACAACATCAAAAAGTAATAACCCCGGGTGACACTAGTTTTTACATTTGTTTGCCTTCAAATTTGCTATCAGTTTTTTATGAATTACTTTTATTCTGTTTCTTTGGGAATTAATATTGAATTAATGAAATGCCGATAAGAGCTTGTTGAGAAAAAGCAACGCGGGAGGAAGTTTTTAGTTGTATGAAAAAGAAATAATGAAAGAAATAGTAAGTAAATGGAGAGGAAAAATGAATGAAAGACAGAAAAGATAGCAAGAGAACGAAAGAAAGAAATGTGAAAAAGAGAACGAAGAAAGAAAGAAAGAAAGAAAGAAAGAAACAGAAATTAAATGAAGAGGAAAAAATGAAAGAAAGAGATAAGATGGAATGAAAACGAAAGAAAGAAATGTGAAAAAGAGAAAGCAGAAACAAAGTAGGTTCAAGATAAGAATGACTGAAAAAGAAAGAAAGAAATGAAAAGAGACAGAAATTAAATGAAAAGGAAAAGAGAATGAAAGAAAGAGATAAGATGGAATGAAAACGAAAGAAAGAAATGTGAAAAAGAAGACAGTTATAAAGACCGTTATTTCCAAAAAGAGAATAAGTGTAAAGGAAGAAGGAAAGAAAAAAGAAAGTAGAAACAGAAAGAAAATAGAGAGGACGAAAGAATGAGAAAAGATGGAAAGGAAACGATAGAAAGAAATGCTGAAAAGAATAAAGCAAAGAGACAAAGTTCAAGAAAGTGATGACTGAAAAAGAAAGAGAGGAAGAATGAGAGAGAAAAAGCGAGAGAAAGAAAGATCTGTTTGGGTTTTTGTAATGCAAAATATAAGAGTAATAAATAAGGATAAGTAAACAGAAGAAAGAAGAAACACGCTGAAATGGAAAATGTAGATTCATTGCAAATTGAATTACAATTGTTGCACGAAGCCAAAGGGGAACTGGAGCGAGCCTGGTCTATATTATCTTAAACCTAAATAATCCGATTCACGACCCATTCATCCATTACAATTCACTTATTCACAAGAACTTGTCCAACGCTATTCAATACACCATATACCACATATTCACAGGGAGCCTAAAAACACACCCAAGTTATAATTAATTCATGATAGAAAAATGTTTGTTTTCGGTTTTTATCATTTTTTTTTTAAATAAAAATATATAAAAATTTAATTCTGTGAAATGAGTGGGTGGTGACACAAAAGTGGAACCCACAAAAGAAACTAAAATATAACAAAACATTCAGCTTAAAAATAAAATAATTTAGTAGCACCAGTCCATCTCCCAAAAATAAGAGCGGTCGATGTATTCTGCCAATACGCTGAATCCAGAAGCACGCGAGAGAAGGACCAAATGAATTACGGAGTGAAGAAAATACCAATGACTGATCAAGTTGAGATTTAAAGTGAATAAAAACAAACTAGGAGGAAATCATGACATGGATCATAACAGAAGAAAATGCCGGGAGCAGGCCGAGAACAGGCTGGTTCTTTACGTTAATATTTCATGACATCACATTGTCATTGTCGTCGTAGAAAACGTTTTATCTCAACTCATGCCTACATGGGATTATTTACCGAACTTGCCCCGAAGATGATACTGAATATACTATACTTATCTTTACATAGAGTGTAAAGGCTTCGTGGGGAAAGCACGTGGTCTCAAAAATATAACTGCCTTCATAAACCGTAGCCTTGTACATGCAGGATTGGCCAATCAAAACACAAACTCCGTAGTTTTTTGCATTCGGTGAATTCTGATTGACCAGTTATAGCTTGTATGTATTCAACATGGATACCAGGGAACATATCTTAGTTTCTCTGCTATAGTGTCAATAGCTGGGCTTTATTTTGGATATTTCGATTAAGGAATCGGAGAGCCGAGTTCGAATTCCAGTCGAATCCATTACATTACTTACGTGCTAATGAAAGGTGTGAATCCTCTTCTTCTCCCGACAGCTATGGGTAAAATTTCTATATCAGAAAAATTCAAATTCAAACGATTTTCCATTAATTTCTATCATTTTACATCTTACACTGCTTACAAGTAACCCACTTAGTCCTGGAGAGTGGGTAAATTAGTATTATGTGCTCGAGTTTCTGAAGCCGTTCCTCTAAGCTTTAACATTGCCTCAGAATGGGGCTATGGTCATTGCCTGAGGTTTCCACAAAAAGAAAGTGTCGAGGAGACTGGAGCAATTTTCAGTTCGTCCATTTCCGCTGCCAACAAACAATTTTTTATAAAATTCAAGCAACATTGAACAAAATAACATTAGTCCTCGTTTCGATCGCGTAGGAAGAGGGGAAAGGACATTTCTTGGTTTCAGTGAAAAAACAAAATACATAAAAGAAGATGTAACTGGAGAGAGAGAGAATCATATTAAGTTGGCTAGAACAAATACTACTACACTTTGTTGTCAGCCAAAAGGCCAAGAATTGGGGGCGACCGCGATAAAAAAAAGTAACAAAAAAGTAACAAAAAAGTAACAAAAAAAGTAACAATGGACTTAATCATTGTTTATGTATGTGATTAAGCGTTAGAGCAAAGTAATAAACAAATGAGAAGAAAAAGAACGGAAACAACATTTTAATAAACCTTATTTCCCTCATGAAATAAGGCATCCCAAAACGGACCTCAATTTTCTCATAATTGGTCTAAACAATATATATATATATATATATATATATATATATATATTTGGTTTGATTGATGTGAGTTTGTGACCCTGGGTTTCACGCTTTTGCGATCGTCAGACAAACTAATTAATTTTTCAAAAATTTTGGGTTTTTGTAGAATGCGTGTATTGGTGTTGTTATGGAAGTGGGGGGGATCGTCGTTGTGATGTCACACATGCTAATGCAAACATAGATGCATGTCCGTACACCCGATGAGGTACGCAGACACACATACACACTTGCTCGTCCGCCAGGGCTCATACAGACATA